CAAATACGCCAACACATGCATACTAGGCACAGCCTCTCTCTCTCTCTCTCTCACAAGCTAGACATGGGGAATTTTCTCTTCTAATATTAGGCCAAAGCCTGTTTTCTAGTTTGCAAACATGAGAACTGGGAAGATTCACTAACTCCTCGCCATACAATGGTCTTCTGGTTTTCCAACCACAACAGACCCTCCTACATCTCTATTGGCTGCAAGACTGTCATAACCAAGACAGTCTCCCAAGAGAAGGTAGTTTTGCTAACTGCATGTGCATACCTACAATTTGCAGGGAGTGCTGACTGAACCGTAGCAGAGTTTTGATTAGATGCAGAGGGAACTCACAGCTCTTATAGTCAATATTGAGTGCAACCAGCACTCATCTCACATGACTCTGCTTTACAAACCTGTCACTTTAGTAACACTGATAGGAAAAATAGACTACATGGATGGAAACCAGTGTAATCTGGCAACTCTATGCATGAATGGTAGTAAACAAAATGGCCCCCAGGCCACACAATATGAAGCTCATGGGCTGCAGTTTGCCCACCACTGACAGAGAATAAAAATTTCCTGAAGCAAAACTGAACGTGGAAACTCCAATGCATATGGCATCAAGAAGCTAATATCTTACATGCTAGCAGATAGCATTTATATTAAAGCCAATTTAAGGAGAGAACGGACCACTACATCTAGTAGTCTGACTTTGGGCATATCACTACCCACCCCCTCCCACCCCAGCACCAACATGCTAATTAACTGAAATTAGCCCAAGTATTACAAATTAGCCTAGAAGAGGTGAAACAAAAATGTAGACTAGACACTCAAGTATAGAAGTGTTCTTACTCTGCTGATGGTAAAAGAAAAAAAAAAGATTAAGGCTAGATAAAACTTAAGACTATTACTGATACCATGGTGAGGGGTGGCACATAAGGACCCATAGATACTCAACTGCTTCCCTACAAGCAAAAATATTAAAAGCTTAAATTTACAAATTAAAAGAAATGTCACCAATGAGATTCCAACTAAATGCTTTCAAAATATATGGCAGGAGTGATAGTAAAGAATTGTCACAACCATGCTAGTCAGAAAAATATCAACTATTGGTTTCCTTTTTAGTTACAACTCAAATATTATTGCTCAGACTGAGTGCAGGCCAAAAGGAGAGGAGGAAAATGTGATATTAACTAGTTTCTAATAGTCTGTAAGTCTCTGCCACGTCTGCCAAAGAGGCAATGAAATACCGAGTCCAAATCAACAAAGCTTTTCGGAATGTAAAAATCACTTGAGGTATCATAGAACCCTAGCGCTGGAAGGGACCTCGAGAGGTCATTGATTCCAGTCCCCAGTCCTCACAGCAGGACCCAGTATCGTCTAGACCATCCCTGATAGATGTCTATCCAACCCGCTCTTAAATATCTCTAGTGATGGAGATTCCACAACCCCCCTAGGCAATTTATTCCAGTGTTTAACCCACCGACAGGAAGTTTTTCCTGAAGTCTAGCCTAAACCTCCCTCACTCTAATTTAAGCCCATTGCTGCTTCTCCTATCATCAGAGGCCAAGACAGACCTTTTTTTGCCCTCCTCCTTTGTAACACCCTTTTAGATACTTGAAAACTGCTATCCATCTTTCTTGAAATGTGGTGCCCAGGACTGGGTACAGTACTCCAAATGGGGTCTACTCAGAGTAGAGAGAAAGAATGACTTCTTGTGTCTTGCTCACAACACTGCTGCTAATGCATCCCAGAATCATGTTTGCTTTTTTTTGCAACAGTGTCACACTGACTCATGTTTAATTTGAGGTCCACTATGACCCCTAAATCCTTTTCAGCAATACTCCTTCCTAGATAATCACTTCCATTCTGTATGTGTGAAACTGATTGCTCCTTCTTAAGTGGAGTTCTTTGCACTTGTCCTTATTAAACTTCATCTTGTTTACCTCAGACCATTTCTATAGTTTGTACAGATCATTTTGAATATTGACCCTATCCCTCCAAAGCACTTGCAACTCCTCCCAGCTCAGCGTCATCTGCAAACTTAACAAGCGTGCTCTCTATGCTGTCACCTAAATCATTGATGAAGATACTGAACAGAACCAGTCCCAAAAGAGACCATTGCACAACCTCACTTGTTATGCCCTTCCAGCATGACTGAACGGTTAAGAACTACTGTTTGAGATGGATTATCCAGCCAGTTAGGCACCCACCTTATAGTAGCCACATGGACCTGTAAACCCAGCCACACCTACTCTGGGGCAGTTGACTCGGGCTTGCTAGCCTACACAATTACAGTGTAATATTGAGGTTTATTAAGGGTATGTCTACACTGTGATCAAAAACTTGTGGCACCAGTTCTCAGAACTCAGGCTCAAGCCCAAACCAGAATGTTTAACCCTGCAGCCTGAGCCCCTCAAGCTAGAATTTGCTGACCTGAGCTTTAAGACTTGTTTTTTAAATTGCAGTGGAGAGATACTGTTTGTAAACCCACATTACTTCCATACAACTCTAGAAGGTAGCAAGTGTTGTTGCCAACTGATTATTTTATGTGAAACAAATCAGAATTTCATCCACATGGGCCACAAACTGTAACCCTCAAACTCCCTTTTCAAGAATTTGGTCAATTCACATAGAAGACTAGAGTTAGAGACAGGCACCAATCAGGACCACCTATATGGTAAAGAGAGTAGCAAATTCTTGGGACACCATTCAAAGGGAGAGGGAAATCTGTTTGTCACCTTGCAACATGCAATAGTTTGATACCAAAGAAACCACTGCTTGACACTAATAATATGGCTAACTAATGCATAGAGTCCAACTTTTTCTAAGTAAACTAAAAGACAATCTAAGTACTCTATCTTCAACTCTTGTCCACTTCTATCTGAAACTGGCCAGGAGATTGTTCCCTATTAGTCTCAGAACTACCCAAGTCATTTAAACAATTATGAAATCCAGGCTTCAGGATTACAATTCCTAGTTAGGTATAACCATAACTCTTCAAAATACGTCATTTGGTACAAAATGCAACAGTCCTAATGCTTAGCAACACAGACTGCCATGAGCACATAATTGTGCTCCACTGTGTTTCACTCTATTCACTGGCTTCCCACTAAGGCCAGTCCAATTCAAAATTTGTCCAGATTTATGGAAGCCCTCAGTAGCACAAGAAACACAAGAGTACTTCTCCCTCTAACCAAATCGCTTATCTTCTACTGGAACATGAGGGTTGCACTCAATAGAACTTTGTAGGGGCTGGATCTAGTGGAATTCATTCTTGCAAGAACTGAAAGCGAGCGGAAGTTTCACTTCATTTAGAATTAAGGATGAGATCCGAACCCAGGCATGCAAATGGAAATCTTTCCATTGACTTAACTGGTCTCTGGACCAGTCCTATTGCAAATTCACCTCTGGGCTTGGCTTTTTCTTAGATTTTACCCAAACACATAAGTGAACTAGTCAGCTATTTTTCCTGTAGGCTGAAAAGGGGGGGGGGAAGCACAAGATACAGATATGGTAGTTGACACCAGAGAAATACCTTTTACTCCGGAGGGAATTGTGTGCCACTGCACATGTGCAGGGTTCATGGCCCCTGCAGGTTTCTTTGATTCCCTGCAGAAAAATGACTTGCCATGGGTGGGGGAAGGGGGAGGAGTAAAGGGAAGGTACAAGAGTGGTTATGAATCCCTCTCAGCAGTGCAGGCATGTTGGCCTGGGCACTCAGAGTAGCTGTTAGAGAAGTAAAAATCAATGTTGGAATGGAGGCATGGGTGGGTAGTCGGACCTGAGACACACACATTCTGTACTTACAGTACACGCAGCATGGAGGGGCTGGGCTTTGGGATGTTTGAGGAGATAGATGTGGAAGAGACTCCATTCCCCTTGAACGAAGCAGCCTGCCCACCTAGTGAGTTCCTCCAGAAGTATAAAATGGGTATAATAATTGTAAGGCTCCTTTAGATTGCCAGAGTGGTGTAAAGGAATGTTAGTATAAAGGACAACAAGGCTTTATAAATACTTATGGTACTTTAGTGATTAGAATTGGTCTAAATTTTTGGACTGAAAAATATTTCCTATCAAAATGTGCTCAGTGAACTATTTGTTACTGTCCTTTCTGGAGATGGTCAGTAGCCAGCATACATTTTGAATCTGAATCCCCAGCACTCATTTCTGCTTCAATTGTCTGATGTAGCACTGAACATTTGGATGCATATATTTGTTGACTAATAGCTGGAAGTAAAGGGTCGATACTAGTTATTAGAAGGGATTTCCTCCAGTGTTCCCTACTGCCAGTCTCACTCCATTGTACTGTAGTTTAAATAGAATTTCCAAAATAAATGAAACCAGCATGAATGTATAGTGTTACGTTAAGAAATAAAATATGCAGAATCTTGCAGAGTTTTAAAATATTGCGCACACAAATCTTTAATTTTTGGTACAGAATTTCTCCAGGACCAACCTTTTTTCCAAGGGCCCCATCAGTGGTGTGTTTTAATTCACCGATTTCTATAGAAATTAACTCTAGTTTTCCTTGATTGCGAGTGTTCATGTCAGTGAAAGATATAACTTTACACTTATTGTTCTTGGTGACGTTTATTAATGGTTCCCCATTAAAAATTCAGTTTGCTCCAAAGTAGAAAGATTGAGTATTTCAAACGAAATATCTCTACACATTGTTCCTTAAACTTTTTAAGACCGAGGAACACCGAACAATTTTTTTTTTTTTTTTAAACAGGGAACACTTTTTGTTGAGGAAAAATTAAAACACCCCCAGGGAAAAGCTGTTGAACGCGCGCACACACACACGCACAAAGAGGGTTGCCCTTTCAAGGGTGGCCATTCCCCAGGGAAAATTTGTTGATAACTCCCCACCAAAAAAGGCACTTATTCCTTTAAGGGCAGTCATTTTGAATTCTGTCCTCTCTGTGACACACCTCCAACTGCCTTCTTTGAGAAAAGCCGCTCTGCACAATGCACCCATGAAATAAAGATGAATGTTAGCATCAAAATTATACATTTCCAGACTTTTGCTTTATTTGGATCCCTTTTAAAAAGCTTCTGGCAAAACAATAAGATCTACAGGGGACATTACATTTAGATCGCAATCGTCAAGCCTTTAGAAGCATTTTTATAGTAATAAAGACTTGAGATATAAAACCTAAACATTCTAGCTTCAATTTGATAGCTTTATGCTTCAGAGATCCAGCAGGGGATCTAATTAATTACACCAAATTATATACAACAACAACAAAAAATCTGTTCTCTCAAGATGATTAAAAAGATGCTATTAAATTAATATTTTCAATTTGTAAAAATAACTACATTTTCTATCAAAATGCAATGGAAAGTTTGGCAATCCACATTTCTTCTAAGCATTTTTATCTTTATTCTTTAAAAGAAAAAGTGTTAAACATTTTTTTCAGAAAACAAGATGTGATTACACAACACAGCATCAGTATAGAAAATATGGATAAAGCTTAAGCACACGTGATAACAGTTTAAAAACATGTAAATGTACATAATATGGGTATTCTGAAGGAGTGGCATATGATTTTGCAATTAGTGTAGTTGTACACATTTATGCTCCACCATGCAAAAGCACTTCTAGTTCCAGAACATGCTCCAATTGTATCTGTTCTTGGTCACATACAAAACACATATGATGTATAGAGGATTCTTCAATACACTATTGGGAAGATACTGGAGAATCCTTCCTTCAATATAAAGATTTTTCTTTAATAGCCTAAAAGAATATGTCGAAGGCAAACCATCATGTGATTTAATGTGAGGCAATCTGACTAAATATTCTTGCTACATCTTCACAGTAAAAGGGAAGAACTCCATTTTCACAGTGGCAGAAGGGATTTTGAAAAGGAGATCTCATAGCCGATTTGCATTTTTTGGAGCCTTTATAGTCAGAGAAATGCTCTCCATACCTATGATAGTTTCCATTTGAATTCTCTTCAATTTCAGGATTCTGCTCTAAGAAGTCACACTGGTAATCCCATTAAGATGCTGATACTTTGAAACGACTGTGCTGTGGACACCAAAAGGGACTCCCTGAGTCTTCAATAATTCTCTTCCTGACTCAGGCCCTTCATCAGTATGTCTATATGCAATCACAGATTCCTCTTCATCAGCATCTATGAGATCCAACAGTACGTGAGGTTTGTCATAACCAGAAAACATGCTGCAGCTCTTTAGGACATTGGACTGTTGCACCTCAGTATTGGATGGCTCTGGGCTTGACTGAATACTACATAACTCTGTTTGGCTACTATTAGAATGAAAATAATTCTCTTTCACTTTTGGGCTTTGTTCATCATCAGGCGTTATTTCAGCAATGCTTTCTTGGATAGACATCTCTTCTGTTTTGTTTGATATCTCCTGGAAGATGACATCGTCTGTTTCTTCACTGCAGTCTTCAGAATTAGGGGTCTCTATTTCTTGAACTTGGTCTACTTGTTCCATCAAGTTTACCTTGTCACTTTCTGACAATACAGGCTTGGATGATGATGCGGTTATGACAGAGATATATTTTGCTTCTGGTTTTGTTTCTAAAATGTTGTGCGAGTTCAGGTTTCGTACCACAGTGACCTTAAGAGTAAAGAGGAGGTACTTTTAGTTGTACATAAATCACATGTTTAAGGTAATAATCTAGTTTATTGTGTCTCTAAATCAAAGTTTAGAAGCAAGACAAAATAGCACTTTAAAGGAATACATATGGTTATTTAACTACATTTCCTTTCAGTAATTCAATAGGAGTTAAGTGGAAGTCAGCAGCTGACATCAGTGTATAACTGACACCAACAAACTTGTTGAATTTTAGGCGAGATGCCACAAACGTGCAAAGTCTACAACCACACGTGAGGGATCTAAAAAGCTTCCTCATTCAGATTAAAGAGGTAGTGGTATGTAAGGAGAAGAGGAAGGGAAAAAAAGCAGGGAATTCCTCTTACTTCTGTTATTTAAGCAATCTTACAAGCTTCACCTACAAAGGAAGTCAAATCCTGAAATTAGCCATTTACCTTCACCCACTTTTAGCCTACCTACTTTGCTTGCAGAGAGCTGGTTTCTTTAGATTATTTAGGATTTGTCTACCCTACCACGTCAGCAAAACTTGTGTCAGTCAGGAGTGTGAAACCCCCCCCCGACATCCTTGAGCAACATACATTTCCTTGGCAAAGTATTGATATGGACAGCGCTATGTGGGCAGGAGAGGACCTCCTGTCAATTTAGCTAATGCTGATTATTGGAAGTGGCTTAATTATGACTGCAGGAGAGCTCTCTTCTGCAGGCAAAGAGCAGCTACATAGTAAATCTCAAAGCAGCATAGCAGTGCCACTAAGTTCCATAGGTAAACAGTCTCAGTTTTACCAACAACAGCAGAGCCCTAAAAGCATCCCCTTTATTTTGTTTAGGTATGTTAACCTTTCAGGCCCTTCTCACATACTGCTAAGCACCTGTTCTGAGCCAGAAAGTGGTATTTCTCCTTGAAAATTAATCCACAAGAAGAGCACCTGTGCTTTGTCTGATTTTTAACTTTCTGAAAACGATGAATTGAGAGGTGCTTTAAGGCTCTCAAATTAATTTCTTGGGACTAGAAACTGAAGAAAATAACGTAATGTTAAACTGTCATGAACCCTGCTGCCTTTCTGGCAGCAATAAACATTTACCATTTCTTTGGAAATAGGTATTCAAGGATTTTTGTTGTTTGTTTTGCACATGCACGTTCTAAGTGTTCTGAAAGTGGCCACTGGGTAAAAAGTTGCTAAAGGACAGTCACAGAAAATGTGTGAAGAGAGGCACAAGAGATAGGAGTGTTCATGTACATCAAAGTATTTATGAACTGCTGCGGTTAATCCCAAATGTATTGTACCAGAGTGAAGGATAGAGAAAAGAATCTTAGATTGCTACTTCTAGGACACAAAATAACTAAAGGTACAACATGTCAAAAGTATCGTGGTCCTGGAGTGAACATAGACTCAACTCAACTTCTGGAATCAAATTACAGTTAACTCCTTTCAGGCACTGGATGTTAAGATCTAGATATACACTACGCAGAAATAAGAACCACAAAGCTCCTCTCTTTACTCCTAAAATAATTTTATGCTTTGACATTTATTTAGTTCCTTGAAGTAGCTACAAATCCAACTCCAACAGCTCTTTTAATTGGTGGGTAAAGAGAAAATTCCATATATAAGCCTGAATATGAACTACAGGAATTAAACTGAAAGGATATTCTATAAAAGCTGTTAGCAACAAAGAACAAAAGGTACATTTGTGATAGGTAAAACATCTGTATTTTGGCTATACTACAGCTTCCAACATTTTATCATACAAGCAAAGAACTCTGCAATTTTTTTCTAACAGTAGAATGTGCCGATGAGTGAAGAAGAGAACCTTAATCATGGTGGTAGTGAGACGGGGCGTCTACTCCGCACTGGCCCTTTAAAGGGTTAAAACCCACCCCTGAGTGAGGGATGGAGTCATGGAGCAAGCATCTGCAGCAGACAGCAGCCAATTAGGGCCCAGCTGTGGGCTGTATAAATAAGGGCTCCAGGAGGGAGGAAGGGAGAGACATTGTTGCTCTGACTGGGGAGCTAAAGGCTTCTTGATTTAGAGCAGGGCTGGGCTGGGGAAAGACTGGCCAGGCAAGCTCCTAGGCTGCAGAACCTGAAGCAAGGCCTCAGAGTAGTAGGGCTGCGGAGAGGCAGCCAGGATAGGCAAAAGCATCCATCGCTTTGCCAATGTTGAGTGGCCATTTCAGACTGCAGTTTGCCCCTGTGGCAGGAGCTAGATGAAGACTGGCAGCGGGTCACTGAGGCAAGGTGGGCATAGGGGAATTGAGGGTCCCCAGGGGGCAGGACTCCAGAGTGTGGGGGCCACTACGGTAGGGCAGTACCCCGGTAGGAGGGTGCCACAGTCTGGGAGAGATGTGAGCCCTGACCTAAAGTAGTGGAGAACAACCAGTAACAGCGGGTGAGACATCAGCCAGAAGGAGGTGCTCCAGCACCTCAAAAATGCTAATTCCCTGAATGACCAGCAGGGAGCACTCTTGGTGGTGAGGCCTGCCCTTTTACAGGTGTTAACAGATGTTCAGGCCAGAAGGGACCATTATCATCCATCTAATCTAATCTTGACTTACTTTGAGTTTTCAGTGTTGTGTTATGCTGCCTTGACATTAGTGTTATATTAGCAGTGGATATTATGACGATAGAGACTTTGTTTAGTAACACAGAGATTCTTAGAGCTCAGGCTTTTGTAATTGACAGTGGAACAGACTTTTCTTCAGTTAGTTTTTGAACAAAATAAGCCTTGGCGTGCACACAGAGTTATGTCTACATTGCAGCTAGATACCTGCTGTTGGCCTATGCCAGCAGACTTGGGCTCACAGGGCTTGGGGTGAATGGATGTCAAACTGTGGTGTAGATGTGAGGGCTCAGGCTGCAAACTGAGCTCCAGAACTCTTCCTCATTCACATGATGCTAGAGCCCAGGCTCTTTAGACCGAGTCACCCGGCACAGACCAGCCGCAGGGGTCTAATTGCAGTGCAGACATACTCATATACTTACCTATTTCTCTAGTCACAAAACAAGGAAGTAACTTGAAGGAAAAAAGGTTAGAAGCAGAGGTTGTTTAATATCACCGGATAGATTTCCTGACTAAGTCTAAAGGTTCCTTATAAAACACGACTCTGACTTAAAAAAATAATTTAGCAATTAAAACAAGTAGTTTGTAGCTCCCATGACAAAAACATAAGCACTACTCTTCCCATCGTATAGGCCTGTCCAGTAACACAAAGAAAAGTGCAATTAAGACATAAATTAAGGTTTTAAGAATGGAAACTAAATACTTGAACCTGGCCTACTGAAATTAACTCATTTAGAAAGGAAACAGTCCTAATAAAGGAAATTCAAAGCATTGAGCTACAGTAAAAAGGCTACAGGTGTGTAAATCCAGAGCATATTTAGGATGAGACAAGTGCAAAATCATTTAATTTAAGAATTTATACATAGCGACAAAAGCTATTTAATTAGTTAACATTGTGGCTATCTGGTATGAAATTTTGTTTACTGATTGTTTTCTCCTACATGTTGCCCACTATGTATTTCAATAAAAATACTGGCTGTAAGACGAAGCTCGTTCGATATTAAAAGGTGCTATACAATAGTTGACTAACCAGATGGTTCTACTGAACAGTTTTGCGAACTTACCAATGACTTGGGTAGTTCAATTTTTCTCTTCTTTAGTTGTTTGCAAAGGCAATACATTGCCAAAATAAGTCCAACGGCAAAGACAACAGCAACACCAATTATAATCATTTTGAAGTCTAGAAAATTAGAGCAAAATATAATGAGAGGTTTGCAATCCAGGATGTTATTTTGACGTTCACAAAAGTCTTAGAAATGGCACACAATTTTTAGAGTGATTAAGTCCATGAATTAGGGTTTTCACATTTGAGTGTATATTAATATTAAAACATATGGCTTGGTCCATGAGAATTCTTTAGAAATGGCAGTAGGGTTTTTTTGGGATCATGTTTCCTTTAATTTTGAAGAGGACGAGGAAGTACATGACTAAACTGTGGCTTTTTTTTGCTCTTCCTTAGAAAAATTCAATGTAGATAAATAACTTGATTTAAAAAAAAAAAAACACACCCAAGTGCTCCAAAACAGGAGAATTATAGAACTATTGATTACACATGTAATAGTATATTTGGCCCCTTAAACAGACTTGGGTCTAGCTTTCCCATTCCAGTTTAGGTGTGCCCTCATATGGAGTAATGAGGATGGGACTGTCCCAGGAATTATGAATGAGAGAATCTCAAAGACAAGAGAATTTAGAACTGAAGAGTTAAGAGAAGGATCAGAAGAAGAGCAAAGCTGGGTGGAAAGCTTCAGAGAGAGGATGCCTGTAAAGAAGGGAACACTGAAAAGTTCCCTAGATCAGCAGTGAAACCAGAACAGTCTGGTGAAAACAGAAAGGCCAGAGGGAGGGGATTGTCACGTAAGTTTTTCCAGGCCAGAGAGGGATGAAGGCCCAGAGAAGCAAAGGGAGATACCCGCTGGCTCTCTCAACTCGAGTATTGAGGCAGAGAGGGATGAAGTCTAGAGAAACACAGACTAGTCCAGGAAAGGGCTAAAACCATACCTGAGGAGGAAACAAGATGAAGTACCCCAAATAAAGGGGTTGGAGTGAGGCATAGTGGGACACACCAGAGCTGTACCTGGGATTCTAAGCAAGGTGAGAATACTGTAGCATTATGAGATGCCACAGGTATACTTGGTACATAAATGGACTGTTGGAACTTGAAAGATTGAAATGTGCTGTTTTGACTGTGCTGGAGAATTCTGGATTACAACTGAGACTTTTTGTCATGAACTAGTCCTGAAAAGGGCTATTTATATCCTGAAAACTTATGTAGCATTACTAGGAGAAAGGGGAAAACTAAGGCTGGTGCACTAGTCATATCACAGGCTGCAGCAAGAGGGCATCCTAGGAAGGGGACGCCCTAACCATGTGATGGCAAATACAGGCAGTTAGCCCCTAGGAAAAACAGGAAGTGCAAATGCCCAAAAGGCAACTACCAAGGCATGAGGTGACCTGCAGGGACATAAGGGTGTACCCTGCCGGTGGTCACCTTAGGACAGGATCCCATTATTCACATATCAATTTTAGATCACAAGAAGATACAATTTATAATATTCATGAGATAAAGAAAATCCTATTGGTCCTCCAATAGGGAGTTCCTCGATATATTAAGGGTTGCTGGAAGAAAGTCTGGGGGATGTTCTCAAAGGCACAAAAGGAAGTTGAAAAGGGCAGTTCCCACTCCATTCATTTATAACACATTTCGGTTACCAAGCTCTAAGCCTCAGATAAAGCACAATACAATGCATCCAATAACCAGCTGGGAGAAAAAGGCTCTTTTATTTAGTCTAAGATTTTCCTTTACTTTCAGCCTGAATGTGTGCACAAAGATGTTTCTGGGGTTGAAGCTTACTGCTTACATTGTAAAGAGAAATATGGAATAGGAAAGGCTCTCTAGTGCAGTAGTTCTCAAATTTTTTGGCCCACGTCCCGTCTGGCTCAATGTAAACTTTTCCATGGACCACATGCTGCTAATGGAAACTTGTCGTTAACTATACAATTACACCTGAGCCATTTTGTTTGTGCTGTAGCTAGGGAGAACAGTTTAATTCAACCAGTAAGAAAAGAAATATTAATCGAAATTTTTAAACAGATTACAGGCAGTCCCCGGGTTACGTACAAGATAGGGACTGTAGGTTTGTTCTTAAGTTGAATCTGTATGTAAGTCGGAACTGGCGTCCAGATTCAGACACTGCTGAAACTGACCGCCAGTTCTGACTTACATACAGAATCTGACTTACAACCCCAGGCGTCCCCAAGTCAGCTGCTGCTGAAACTGATCAGCAGCTGATTCCAGGAAGCCCGGGGCAGAGCAACT